CCCTTTGATAATATGCGTTGTGTCAGCGTAGAATTCCCAGACAAGATGATCATTCATACCCACCAGCTTCTCAGTAAACTTCATCCATCCATTTCTCTTTGTAAATTGCTCCAAAACAACGTGTTGTATTTTTCTAAGTCCTTGAGGAGGAATTTCCTTTCATAGGTCAGTGATCTTTCCTTCCACCATATCCGGAAGTTTATGTATGCTTGCAGGCTCAAAAACCGGTCTTCCTAGACCACCTTTTTCTTAGTTCGTGCCATGTCTGCCTTTGAACTTGATCCCCCTCTCCCATCATCTGGGGGAACGTATGAATTAGAGTCTAGAGTAGCTACGTTGGACTCATGACTAGTACTAGCTGAGCCCTAGGAGGTACCGTGAGATGTGAAAGGTACATCTAGGGGCTTAGACTGCCCCTGCGGCATAGATTTCTCCTCATTGTGCTCTTCAGGTAGAGACACAGAATTCCCTTATGAGGCCTCCCTGGATGGGTCATAAGAACTTGACTCTGAGAGGCTTTTACCTCTCCCCCGGCCTATAGTGGTTTTCTTTGTAATGTCCCTTTGCGCACTCGGGTGCATGTCACCCCTGCCTGTACCTTTTCATGATTCTCCTATTCCTTTCAAAGACTCTCCTCGTTATCTTAATCACACCATTGTTTGTGTATGCAAAAAAGAGATTCGTTAGTTGATATACATGTTGTAAAACATTTAAGAGTCATATAAACATTGGAGAACCTAGACGCAAATGCAGTAGACAAGGTACAAGTGCAATCCGCACAATTTGGATTACAGCCCGCAAAGCTGAAGTGTGGTCCGCACAATTCCAAATATGAGCAGCACTTCAGCACAGTTGTGCCATGTCCTCAGAGAAAGGTCCCTGATGGACAGTACGACCTCTTTTTGCGGCCGCAAAATTCATCTACGGTCCGCATAAAATCTTTTGCGGTCCGCACTTGAGTAGAAGTACTCAGAAGTTCAGAGAGGAGGTTCTCTGATTATTAGTGTAGACCTCCCTTTGTGGCCGCAAAATTTAAACTATGGTCCACACAATTAAAGTGCGGCTCACAAACAACTAGCCTTCAATATGGACCGTACAATCACAGTCCACACAGTTAATAACAGTAATGGCTACACGTCTTGATACCTGGGATATGAAAATATGTGTTCAATCCTACTGGGTAACATGGTAAAGGCATGATACTCAACAACCTAACCCTATCTAAGCATGCTTTGATAAATACCCAATTTTAAACTATCCCACATGGACACATTAAATGGATGCAATAATATATGGCCTAAAAAGAAGTTAAAAAGCCAAAATAAATTTTAAAAATAAAAATAACAAGATTTGAAGTGATGCATAACAAAGTGTGCTACTGTGGTAAGATCAATAGAAGTGTGATATGCTGCTTGTGATGACAAAGTCCAAGTAGGATGCCTCTTAGAGTAACAGTATCATAGTAGAGATGGTGAAAAGTGTAAAAGGGTGAGGTACTGTTCTATTAATACTCATTCGAAAGTGAGGGTTTAAGAAGGCGAGTGCGGCCGCATAATTCTAAGTGCAATCCGCACTGTGTTACCTGTGCAGCACTAAAGCACATTGTGTGGCCCGCACATTTTCAAGTGTGACCGCACTTTTGACATTGTAGTTCAACTTCTCTGATAGTGCTCTTTTGAGACCGCATAATTTGTGATGGTACGGAAACTCACTCCGCACTGTTGGGAGAAAAGTTTAGAGGACCTTCAATTTAGCATATGAGACGATTTTCACAATTATGGTCCACAGATGAAATTGTGGCCACACTAAGAAAAGTGCGGTCCGTATTTTCTCCATATATGACACAGCTCCAGCTATTATGTCACATCTAACACTAATCCCTGCAGCACACTTCAAATCAAGTTAAAAACAATAAACAATATCTAATTGAATGAGAAAAAAGGAAAAGAACTTGGATTGCCTCCCAAGAAGCGCCTTATTTAACGTCGTGGCACGACGTAATGTCATAACATCCTCAAGTGAATAAAGAACCGCCACCATGTGGATCTGACCAACATTCCCCAAATAGTGCTTCACCTAATGATTATTGACTCAAAATATTTCATTGTTCTTGTTCTTCAAGTCCAAGTCACCAAAAGGTGTCATACCAACAATTTCGAATGGACTGCTCCACTTTGACTTGAGCTTCCCAGGAAACATTCTCAACCTTGAGTTAAATAATAACACTAGATCACCGGCCTTGAATTCCTTGTTCTAAATATACTTGTCATGAAGATATTTCATCTTCTGTTTGAACAAGGACAAACTTTCATATGCATGGTACCAGAACTCATCCAATTCATTCAAGTGTGCAACCCGCAAGTTAGCGGCTACATCCCAATCAAGGTTCAATTTCTTCAAGGACCACATTGCCTTGTGCTCTAGTTACACCAGAAGATGACAAGCTTTTTGTAATACCAGTCGGTATGGGAACATCCCAGTGGGTGTTTTGTAAGCCGTCTTATATGCCCATTGAGCATCATTAAGCTTCTTAGACCAATCTGCCCGATTTGCATTCGCCGTCTTGGACAAAATACTCTTTATCTCCCGGTTGGAGACTTTCACTTGACCACTAACTTTGTGGGTGATATGTAGTTGTCACTTTGTGAGTAACACCATACTTGCCAAGTAAAGTATCGAATGCCTTGTTGCAAAAATCTGACCCTTCATCACTTATGATTGCTCGCAGAGTACCAAATCTTGTAAAATTATTCATCTTCAAGAAAGCCAGCACACTTCTAGCCTCATTATTAGGTAAAGCAACGGCTTCAACCCATTTAGACATGTAATCCACCGCGGCTAAAATGTAGGCATTTCTATAAGAACTCACGAAAGGCTCAATAAATTCAATACCCCAAACATCAAAAATATTAATCTCCAAGATGGTTGTAAGGGGCATCTCATGTTTCTTTGAAATTCTACCGGCCCGTTGACATTCATCACATCTTTTCATCAAATCATTTGCATCTTTGTAGAGAGTGGGCCAACAGAAACCACAATGTAGGACTTACGCCGTCGTTCTCGCTCCACCATGATGACCACCATATGGCAAAGAATGATAAGCCCCAAGAATATCACCTTGCTCTTCCTATGGCACACACCTTCTAATACCCCCATTCGTGCAAATTCGAAAAAGGTATGGTTAATAGTAGTCTTGACAATACCTCTTGAGCTTCTTTCTTTATTTTGAAGAGATCTCATCTGGAATGATACTACTCGCAAGAAAATTTGCCAAATCCGCGAACCATGGTACCTCTTTCATTGAAAGTGCCAAATGTTGCTCATCGGGAAAGAGTCATTGATTTCAAGACTATCATGTGGCCTCCCCTCCTCCTCCAAATGAGACAAGTGATCTGCCACTTGATTTTCACTTTCCTTCTTGTCTTGGATGTCAATATCAAACTCTTGCAACAAAAGCACCCGTCTCATAAACCGAGCTTTAGATTCTTTTTTGCTCATAAGATAGCGAAGTGCAGCATGATCCGCGTGGACAATAACTTTGGCATCCATCAACTACGGGCGGAACTTCTCAATAACAGACACAATATAAAGGAGCTCTTTCTCTGTAACAATATAATTGACTTGGGTGCTATTCATGGTCTTACTAGCATAGTAAACTGGATGAAAAACTTTTTTGATACGTTGCCCCAGAACAACCCCAACCGCTACATCACTTGCATCACACATAAGCTCGAACGACAAACTCCAATTTGGAGATGTAATGATAGGAGTAGTTGTCAACTTGAGCTTCAATTGTTCAAAAGCTCTCATACAATCATCATTGAAATGGAACTTGTCATCCTTCTCAAGGAGTTTGCACAACGGGTTCACCAATTTAGAATTTTTTTTATATGAAACATCGGTGGAAACCCGCGTGGCCTAAGAAACTCTGCACGCCCTTCACCAAGGTAGGGGTGGAAGCTTAGAAATAACTTCAATATTTTTTTTTCCACTTCAGTGCCATTCTTTGAAATCTTACTGCCAAGTAAAATGCCTTCCTCAACTATGAAATGATATTTCTCCCAAATGAGTATCAAATTTGTTTCCTTATATCTAGCCAGCACTTTGTCCAAATTAGCAAGACAGTCATCAAATGAATCTCCAGTCACCGAAAAGTCATCCATGAAGATCTCAAGGTAGTACTCTACCATGTCCGTGAAGATAGCCATCATACACTGTTGAAAAGTCATCGGTGCATTGCATAATACAAAAGGCATTCGTTTTAAAGAAAAAGTACCGTACGGACAAGTAAAGGTGGTTTTCTCTTGATCTTCCGGAGCAATAATAATTTGATTGTAACCCGGATATCCATCAAGAAAATAATAGAAAGCACAGCCGGCCAACCTATCAAGCATTTGATCCATGAAAGAAAGAGGAAAGTGATACTTCCTTATGACTTTGTTGAGCTTACGATAATCTATACAAACTCTCCAACCGGTGACCGTTCTTGTAGGAATCAACTCATTCTTACCATCATGCCCCCTTCTTTAGGACACATTGGACTGGGGAAGTCCAGGAACTATCGAAAATAGGGTAGACAACCCTGACGTCCAACCACTTGATAATCTCCTTTTCGACCACCTCTTACATAGCCTCATTTAGTTTTCTTAGATGTTCAATTGACGGTTTGGTACCATCCTCCAATTTAATCTTATACATGCATAATGCGGGGATTATACCCCGAATGTCCACCAAAGTCCACCAAATAGATTTCTTCCTCTTTTGTTACACAGCCAATGTGGAGTCAAACAGCATATTAGTCAAAAAGAGAAAAGAATAACCGATAAAGTAGAACAAGGTCCAAGAAATTCATACCGAAGGTGAGGTGGCAATTGTTTTAACTCCAATGTTGGGGGCTCTTCAATAGAAGGCTTTGTAGGAGTAGTCTTCATATTCTCAAGATCCAAAGACAACTTACGGGGTGCGTTGTTATAAGATACCATTCCTTGCAAATAATTCACTTATTTCATGAAACTATCCATCGCATCATTATCCAAGTTGAGCAAAATGGCTTCTAACATATCACCAACATTGATCGTAGCACCAGTATCATCGACAATAACATCGGTCACCAAGTCCAAAAAAGAACACACTTCATTGCTATTTGGTTGACGCATAGACTTGCACACATGGAATACCACTTGTTCATCACCAACCTGGAAAGTGAGTTCTCCGGCTTGCACATCACAAAGTGCATTACCCGTAGCAAGGAAATACCTACCAAGAATAGTAGGCACTTCATAGTCAACCTCACAATCTAGAATCACAAAATCCGTCGGAAGGATAAATTTATCAACTCGGACCAAAACATCCTCAATCATTCCCAATCCCCTATTCATAGTACGATTGGTCATTTTCAACCTCATAGACATGGGTCTTGGTTTCCCAATACCTAGAGTTTTGAAAACCAAATAGGGTATCAAGTTGATACTTGCCCCAATATCACAAAGAGCTTTAGCAAATTCAGCACTTCCAATAGTACAAGGAATCGTGAAAGCATCGGGATCCTCCAACTTAGGAGCCATGGAATGAACAATCGCACTCACTTTGGTGAGTGGCCTTGATTGTTTCAAAATTCATTGATTTCTTCTTGGTCACAAGGTTTTTCATAAACTTGGCATAACCGGGCATTTATTCCAAAGCTTCCACCAATGGCACATTGATAGATAGACCTTTCATTATTTGAACAAACATCTTGAATTGATTCTAACCATTTTTCTTAGCAAGTCTTTGAGGATAAGGAGGTGGGGATTTTTGCACGGATGCAGCCTTTTGCACTACTGGTTCCGGTATGTCAATAATATATTCCCTAGATGGTTTCACCTCTTCTTGGGTCTCCTCCACAATATCATCAATATCAATCTGAACCTCATCATGTAGTTGAACATCTTTGCATGGGATTTCCTCCTCTTGGATCACTTGGTTATCGTCCACAAGTTATCTTTCATTTGAGGTGGGTGCATTCTCACCTCTTCCACTTTTTGTGATAATCGCCATAGCATACCCCGTATTATTACCACCCTTTGGGTTTACTACCATGTCACTTGGTAATGCACCCATTAGAACGAGTATTAATAGCTTCAGAGATTTGTCCCATTTCAACTTCAAGATTATGGATTGATGTGGTATGTGAGGAAAGTTGGGCATCCGAATCCGCATTCTTTTCTAATATTTTCATGAACGTGTTCTCAATACGTCCTATTTCATTGTTTGAAGAACTTGAACTATCTGAAGAATAAGTAGGTGGGTTGCTCGGTTGTTGGTACATTGGGGGCCTTTGAAAATCCGAACCTCGATTTACGTGATTATTATTACCCCCCCCCCCCCAATTCCCTTGATTGTTGCCTCCCTAATTACCTTGGTTAATGTTATGTCAATTCCCTTGATTGTTTAAATCCCAATTGCCTTGGTTATTTTGAAAACGCCATTAGTTTTGATTGGAGCCTTGAAAATTGCTCTGTTTCCCTTGGTAATTGTTCATAAATTGTACCTCTTTTTTTTGCTCTTGATAAGAGTCATCTTGGTCATAGCTAATATCATCTTGTGCATAATTATCCAATCGGGGTTGAAATTGTAGTCCTTTAGTCCTCTTCTTGTTGGCCAAGAAATTCACTCCCTTCATAGCATAAACTTACTTAGGAGTTTGGGTTTGATGAAGTTAGGACTTAGCAAGTTGTGTCATAGTTGTGATCAACTTGCAATAGCTTTCCCATGGTTTTGCAACTTTTTATGTCGATGGATCATGTTGATCGGGTCCAAGCCTACACTGCTATTGAGAAGCGAGGGTGGTCGACATAGTTTTAACCCAACAAGGTCGGGATCGAATCCACGTGGAGTTAATGATTGGAATTAGGTTTATATCTAAGCTAGATGCGGGCTTTGAGTCTAATTACACTTCCACAAATATGGGTTTGATTTCTACTTCTAACCTTACTCTAAAGATTGCAATGATTGAAACTAAGGACAATATTTTTGTTGTTGTTTTTCAAGTGTTTAAAGACATTAGGGCCGTGACTTCTACCTAGGTGGTTATTTAACGGGTAGCAAAATCTAGGGTAAGCTTGATTAGTTGGGATCGTAATATACCTATCACACCCGGGTACTCACTTTATATCTCTCGCTAGTTTGAGTGATTTTGCCCAATTTGGATTTCTCAAGCCATATGGGTATTCATACAAATCAAGTGATATTAGCTCAAGTCGGGTATTACTATCTCTAGGTTTAACCCTTTAATTAGGGCTATCAATTTCTTGAGTTCACCCCAATTCCTTGGTAGCCTACTTTTCCTAGACTTAGTCCCTCTTTCTCAAGTAGAGACTAAGTCATAAAGGCACGAATCAATGTTTGCAATCATTAATTCTATAGTTCTAGCAAGAACTAGGCTAAATATCACTAACCTATTCACATACAAGCCCTAAAGTCAAATACCCATTAAATACCCACACTAGGGTTGGGTCACAACCCTAGCTATGAGTTTAGTTACTCATGAAAATAACAAAAATTAAAGATGAAATAAAGATAAAAGCCATAATATTAATTTATGGAATGAAAATGTAATGTCAAGAGATGAATCTAGTACAAAATTTCCGAAAACAAAAAGCTCAGTCGTCTTACGTGCTCATACAAAACATAACATAACCTAAAAATGACAAAAAGTTCTATTTATACTAAGCTGAAAATATTTGACAAAATTGCCCCTACGGAGGTTGTGCGACCGCATAATTCTGAGTGCGGCCGCATAATTCTGATGCGGTCCGCATTTTCCCTTTTGGATCTGGGTTGAGATGGACTTTCGCGGACCGCATAATTCTAAGTGCGGCCGCATAAAAGTGACGTGGTCCGCACTTGCTTGAGTTTGGCTTGAAATCAACTCTCTGATTCTTCATCTTGCGGGCCGCACAATTTCAATTGCGGCCGCACAAGGACTTCCGCAGCCGCACAATTCTGGTGCGGTCCGCACTACTCTCTTTAGATCAAGTTTCCAGCTCTCTGAGTCTCCGTCCTCGCGGTCTGCGTAATTATGATTGTGGCCGCACCATGGCTTTAGCGGCCGCACAATATTGGTGCGGTCCGCGTTTCAGGATTCTTTGTCCAGTCTTTGTTTTGTTCAACTTTTAACTCCTTTGTTAGTTGGTTTTGATTCCTTTGGCTCATTTTGAACAACTCCTGCAGGCAAGTACATTTCATTAGATCCCGGGAATACCTTCAAACATTTTTGGCCTAAATCACAAGTAAAAGAGAGCAAATAATAGGTTAAAATCCCTACTTATCAACTCCCCCAAACTTAAGCTTTTGCTTGTCTTCGAGCAAATAAGGTAATTCCCACCTCCACTAAAACAACAGGATATTTCAGCTGACCTAAGGTGAATCAATCATGCATCAATTGGGACTAACAATTACCCTCAACACAGATGAATTATCAATAACACCATGTTTTGACCTTTTGAATACCATAGTGCTAATATGACACTAGAGCATCAAGAGTTGACTTAATTCACCAAGGAAGCTCGCTCTATTACGTAGGTCATTGTGGAACCCAATCCTTCCATACCCTCTACAAGCAATTCTCACTTTAGAATGTGACACTCAAAACAAGGATTGTGAAGAAGTACGCTCATCTCTATCAAAAGAACGACACAAGTCCGGCTCTAAGTACCATAAGCTTGCCCCTTATGTAAATCACCACTAATGTAAGCTCACTCAAATCAGAATCATATAAGGCTTTTACGGGAATGTAATGAGGGCTTTTGGATCAAGGTAGGACTTATCGGTATATGATGGTTTCATCTTTCCTTAAGCACTCAATTTTTTCCTTTCGGCTTATACTTTCTTAACTCTTTGAGTCATTTTCTTCTTCCTTAGGGAAACTAGAGAGGCACAATGTCACTCTTTCTTACTCATGACAATCATTTTTCTCCTTTTCTAATCATTCCATGCCTTTCATCCTTGCTTTCTTTGAATCCCTTAAACTTTCTATCTTATTCACTTTTTTTGACATATTTCTTTTTGGCCTTTCTTTCTTTTATTTGCCTTCCCTTTTCTTTATTTCCTTTTTTTCTTTGTACTTTTTATCACTTTCACATTCCTCATCTCTCCTCCAAACTTATGCTTTTGCCAATTGTCATCAAGAATGCCAAGAGATCGGGTTCCAAGAGAGGGTCATTATAGAACGGATAAAGGGTTGTAACTTGGTTATTGAAAGAAAAAAGGGCTTCGGCTCAAAATGGGCTTACTATGGTTATCACATTGGTAGGCTATGGAAGCTTTCAAGTTTCAAATTTGATCAAGGAGAGCCTACAATCATTTCTCAAGTCGAGATACACTTAGAATTTTGCCTAGACAAACATTCAGGGCAAGTTCTAGACTTATTGGCACGGAACTTGGACTTGCAATTCAATACCTCACCTCTCAAGCTGCTGAATTGTTAAAGAGAATAGAGTCGAGGGCCCACAACAACCCTAGCTAAGATTGAACATCACAAATGGCTCAAAGAAACCACTCAATGATTGTTTTAGTCAACACAAGAGTCTAAAGGTCACAACTAGAGCTATTATTTGCCAATCACTTGTTTCTAATCATAAGGTCGAAGGTAAATGTGTTAGTACCAAGTGAAGCCTGCTTGAGACACTTTTATTCATTACTACTATATATACCAAAACATAAAGAAAACGGACTCAATCCCTTAAGAAGGTTGTCACGCCATCCATCGTTGGGAAGAGCCACCCAGTTCACACGACATCCACCTTTGGAAAGAACCGTGGCATTAAGAAAACCAAAGGCTTATTGTCAACACAAAACTTATAAAGAAGCTAACAGATTAAAAAGAAGCTACTAAAGTAATTAAGAAGCTATGCTACTAAGGGAAAATAACAAAAGAAGCTATGAAGTAAACTACGGAAATTAAACTAAATATATACAAACTTGAGGTAAAGCGAATATATACATAAATGAAATGAATATATACATCAAATGGTAAAAAGATATACATACCAAAGATAAAGAAAAATAGTGTAATGGTTATTACATACCAAATGTCATCAAATCAAAATGGACCACCCCTCAAATGAAAAATAGAATTGTCCTCAATGCGCATATCAAATAAGAATAGGGAAAAGGGGTAAAGGTAGAGAAAACTCCCTATGCGGTCTCTGTATGCATTGGGCCCTCAACATCAGCATCCACCGTATCCTCTAACTGGATCGTCACATCATCTGACTGGGGGACTACGGGGTTGCTGAGCATATGAAATAGCTCCTCAGCAGTGTGGGAAGTGGCAACCAGCTCATCAGACTGGCCGGTTGCTGCCTCTGGTGTTGTCTGTGCTGCTGGGATAGTAGACTCCATGAGTAGGTCCATTAGCAAATCCCCTGCATGTGCAATCTTCTCGACCTCCTTAGTTAACTTCTCCACAGACTTCTTTGAGGCTTGAGACTTCTTCATCTTCTTAACGTGCTTGGCCAGGTCTGCAATGGCCTTCTGATGTGTATCAAGAGTCTCCACAATCTTCTTCTGGTTGTCCAGAATC